GTATTAATTTTTAAGTTTAATATTTATTAAATTTCTCTATTAAATCTTTAATTTCTTATAGTGTTTTCAAGCTGTGACTGGCGCACATTTAGTACATTTTTTGGTTGATCATTTCGGGTGCCTTCTATGTGCAATGCAATTTCTAAAACGTGATTCGTGCAGAGACAAATAATGCCCAGGCACTCCTCCTCCTTCTCCTTCACCGATCCTGCCACAGACTCCCTCCTTCACTTATCCTCCTCCTCCACTGGAGTCCAACAAAAGCCCATTAATATAATTTGTGTCTAGAGCTATTTCCACTGAGACCCAATGTCTGCAAGCTTCAAGACTCCTTTTCCTAAACGATTATGAGCTCCAACTCGGAGGCAACTTGATGTTGGGAAAACATGCCACAGTTTTTCCATATCGCATTGTTTTCTTTCTGTTTTTTATTATTATTATTATTATTTTGTTTTTTGGCTGACGGGGTCACAGTCTGCAAGTCTCACTCCCATATAGATCAAATAAAACCGCTGATCGTGTCGCCGCCGTCATCGATCGATTGCCATTCTGTGTGGGCTTTTCCCCTTATTTATTGTACAGAATTGTCTACAACTTTTATTGGATGGCGCTTAAGTTTTATTGGCGAGCAACCGAAATGGGTTTTTCATGGGAACAAATCGATGATCGGTAGCCCGCGGGGGACTGGCATGTTGACAGACTTGATAAATTTTTGAATTAGATGCCGAAGGTTGCCTTTCTTCAGCAGATCTGTGGACAACCTGGACAATGGGTCAGTCTTCGTGGGTGGACATAATTGGGGTAATAAAATGGATTGTTTTGTGGTGATAATTCAATCGGATAAAGACGAGAATTTGTACTTATTTTTGGGATAAGTGTAAGAACTTGAAAGTTATCTTTAATAAGGAATATATATGATTTATAGGGTAGGAAATGATTTGGGTTATAATACCCTGTTCAAGAATATACAAATGAATAATTAATTTATAAATCTTCTCAGGACTTAAATAATAATAATTATATATATAAATAAAGTTATATCTGATTACCATGACTATAATTTTATTTATACTAATATTACTTCCTTTCTATATACATTATTTAATTCATTACTATATCTTTAATAGCTTCCTTGATATTGAATCCGTCTGAGTAATCGAGGTTGTTTAATATCTTAGGGTTCAGCATTCGGAGAACACTTTAGCCACCAATCTTGGGCCTGGGAATGGCGACAACAAATCAGCGCGGATCGGTGCGGGATCTTGCGGTTGCCCGGCCGTAAACTAAGTGACCACCTGCGAGTTCCATTGGTTAACATAAAGCAAACTCTTTATGGACCCGACAGACACTACGACCACGACGAGGATGACAACGACATCTCGATGGGCAGCAACTGGATGGAGGACCCGGTATCGGCATTCTCGTTTGAAGATAATGAAGATCTTGGCAAAGAATGTTCTCACTTTTTAAGGTACACAGTAAGAAAGATTACAGGAATTGGAAGAGCTCCTTTTAAAATGTAAAGTAAATATTGTGGAAGATATTTATTTGGGGTTTCCAAGTAGAAAAGCTTTGTAAATTCAAAGAAAAGGTTTAAAATCTTAGTTTAGAATTATGAAACCAAATTCTAGGACATGATCTCTAAACTATCATCATTCATAGACAATCAATGCCTATTACAATATTTTTGTTAAAAGAGGAAACTTGCATGAATATCATTACACTTTAATTTTAAGCTTAAAACACTCCGAGATACATTTAAAACCCCCTACTTAGCTTTTCTCTGGGCAGAAATAAAGTCCACTGATGTCTAATAATGGGAAAAAGGCATCGTTTGCTGCACTTTAAAGAAAAAAGCCACCACACAACTTTGGAGAAGGAAACATGGACCCGCGACGAGGATGGGGCCAGGAGTAGGTGCAGGAGTCGAGGCTGGAGAAAGAGAGAGTGAGAACCCAAGATCTGGACTTGCAACCTGGGCGCACTTTCATTTTCAGCTGCCCGCCGCATAATTAATTGCGACCGAAAGTGGACGACGATTTTTCGTGGCGGCAGAAAGTAAGCAAACATAAAAATAAAAAATAAAAAAACCCAGAGGAAAACGCTAAAGACGAAGTGATCGCCATTCGAAGGAACAACGAACCTGTAGCGACTTGACTCCACTAAACCGGATCAATGGGGCTTGAACGTGGAGCAACTTTCTTCTTCTGGCGGCTTCTGACACACTAAACTGACGCAACGCAGCGTGTGGCAAGTGCGGCAAGTGCCTGGCCTGCCTTCCATCTTGCAACGCCCACGAGGAGTCGCCAGCTTCCTTTGCAGCCCAAAGCTGCCACAAATGGAAATTAACCATGTTTTTATGGCCATGTGGGCGATGTGAAAAGGGAAGAGTCTCAGTCTCTGTGCAGGAGCACATGCCTCATTTACACGCTGCAGATGTCCTATAATGGCATTGCTAATGGGGTATCCTTTATTTTATTTATGTTTTAAAATATATAAATGCTGCAGGTTATTTAATGTAAACTTAAATATTTCAGTCTAAATCCTATCTATACTTAAGGACACTTTAGTTAAATCAGCCAAGAAGGGATATTTGAAGGGGTTTTACTTAACTTAATTATGAAAAGACTTTGATTTCTTATTAAAATAAATATATCCTTTGGCATTACCTAATTAAAAAGAAGAAATCTTCTTAAAATAACAAATTAAGATAGAAAAAGTTACTTAATCCTTGATATTAACTATTTTCTTTTCATCATAAACACATATAACCTTGATACCTTAGGTGTGTTTCGTTAAATGGGTAAAGTCCCCGTCGTTATATCCATTTAATTTTTAGAAAATTTTGTGGCAAGGAGTGCTACAAAGTCGCCGAACCTAAGCCCAATCTTACAACCGATATGTATTCGAAGCCAATCGACAAGTCCAGTGCCTGTGCCTGACAGAACCAGTTTAATGGCACATGAAATTTCACCCAAAAGATCTGTGAATCTCCGGGGGTAAAAGAAAGGGGGATCCCATCGAAGGAGGGGCGTGGCAAGTTGATTTGCTTAAAAAGAAATTCACTTTCCTTCGACGGTTTTTACTTTTTCAAATTTTAGTGTGCGAATGTTTGTCGTTTCGGTTTGTGGCAAGTCTTTCTCTACACGGAAACCAAAGGATACATTTTTATATTAATCTAAATTCCTATTTTAATACAAATAAATTTAAATAAAATAAAAGAAACTTCTATTATTAATATTAATAAATGAGATAAAATATACTTTCCTAAGAGCAATTCAATCCTTAATAAAGCTTACCCTCTAAAAATATTGGTACGTGTTAATTGCACATTTCAAATTAAAACTTAAAAAGCCAAAATGATACCATAATTTTCTATTTATGATAGTAAAACATGAGTTTCAACTTTGTATTTAATATTTTAAAGTCAAACAAAGCTCTAGACATCCTTGAATTATTATTTCGAAATTGTTTCCCGTGCAGCACAAGGCTTCTCTCATGGGCAGAGAAGGCAAAGAAGGTCACGGTGTGTTGTAGATCATGAGGATTGGATGCGAAACAAGGCCCAGAGACAACAGGAGGTGGTCAAAGTCAAAGTCGCTGGCTTAAACTAGGCATGGGATCCCATGCCTGCCGAGACCACAATTGAATGCATTGCCAATGAGCGCAAAAATACTTTTAATGAAAGTTGGCACTTTGCTTTTTTGGGTTTCCTCGGCTTGTTTTGGTTTTCGGATATTCCGACGTTTTGTTTTTCTATTTGTTTTGGTTTGGTTTTCCAGCCTTTTGATTTGTGGCAAGCCAGGCGGCAGCCGTGGAAAATGGTGCTTGCAGCAGGAGCTGAGAGGTGTTGGAGATCAGCTAATTGGATGTGGACAATGGATTGCTTGGATATTGTTAGCGGCGGAGGTGTAGCGCATCCTTAATTGGTACCCAGACACCAAAGCGGATCTATTTTTTGTTAGGTGTAAAGTAAATCAAGTCGCTATCTAAACATCGAGCACTTTCACCATCAATGAGGAGGATGCCTCAGGTATATAACTTGAAGGCATTTTATAATTCTCCCAAAGGCAGCAGTTGCTGGAACTTCAATCGCAGTATTTAAAGCGTTTTAAACTAACAAAGATAATGGTAAATATAATATTATAAAATCAATAAAGACAGTCTGGTATAAAGAATTATTAATAATGATAAGTGTGTGCATAAATAAATTAAACCGGAAACATACGCACCACAAACAACAGAGTTCAAATACAAAGGCTAAAAAGGCATTAAAAATGCTAATGATTCATGCCTCGGGTGTGATTTCAATTCAATTCGGACTTGCAGATAAGACATTCAAAGAGTGATGTGAAAATTTTAATTTGGAATTGCCTGCGCAGACAATTGACTTTATTTTTCGCTTCTGTCTTATGGCTGTGATCATTTGTTTCGGATTATATAAAGTGTGCGATGAACTGGGAGTCACATCGGATTAGTGCGAAAATCTGCAATGTGTGAGATTAATTGAACTTGGCACAACTTAACACTTTTTTGTGCTGATGTAACCAGCAGGGGAGTGTGTTTCCGAATACAATCAAAAATAATAAAGATAGAAGAATTTCTCTTAAAATATATTTCGTTTTTTTGGTAATCAACCAACCGGAAATGGCATATTACCTCATTGTTTAGAGACAGAATCCTATAATAGTTGCATTAATATTTATTCCATTATTCTTGTGATTGAAGGGCTGACTGACTTCGAATATCTATATAATAGATATATACAATATTGTCGTTAGATTTTTAGCAATGCTTTTTGTAAGATTCCCCTGCAATCATTATATATTTCCCACTCATTTCCGTTTACTGTGAATATTTGAATTGTAACGACCAAATCGAAATTTCTGTTACTGAAAATACTAAAAAAGTTGCCGCTCTACCTATATGGTCATACCTTTCAGCGGCTGTTAATAACAGCGCGCATGCGAATGCGCTCAACAGCTCTCTGTTAACTTACTTTGCGACAAAAAGGTAAACAAATCAAACATTGCTTGTTTTTACCGGATTTACGGGGCTTAAAGCTTATAATTAAAGAAATAACAATGCACAACAAGTCAAAAACCAGTGCGGCGTCTCAACAGAGTCCGGAGTAAGTAATGAGCTATCAAGAAATACGAATAAACTGCTTAAATTAAATTTACACAGGCAGGCTGCCAATGAAGCGCGCATAACCCAAATCGAGGAGTTTATCAATGAAGTCCTAAAGGAGGAGCTCCGCCAGCTGGAACAATGGATTGGACAGTACAACGAGGAGATAATGGAGTACGTGCAGTTGAAGAACACGCTCCAAACCTTCGACACGCATTTGTCCGAGGGCTACAAAACGCAGGTTAACATTGGTAGCAATATCTTTATGCAGGCCAGAGTTCGCCAGATGGATCGCATCCTGGTGAACGTGGGCAAGGATGTCTATCTGGAGATGACCCTGCCGGAGGCGGAGCAGTTCAGCGACGTTCGCGTCAAGATACTGACCAAGCAATCCGAAGTTCTGCGCGAGGAGAGCGTCAAGAAGCGGGCTCAAATTAAAATGGCTTTAATAGCAATCAGCGAAAGGGCCAAGCTCAACCAGCAGGACGATAGGAAATAGACAAGGATGCAACAGGCAGGATGGGAGATTGATTGAGGGTACCTTACGTTAAATAATATACAATTTCGGTTAAATATAACTCAGGAATATAGCTCCGTAAAGAATATTTAATGAAAGACAAGCTGGATGCTGCGATTTTTGGGATTTAAATCAAATGACGCCTCTGTTAAAAACACCCAAACTGTATATGCAAATGTTTATTAGTTTTCGTTGTTTTCTACTTTAATTTACAAGGAATTTACAATATGCTCGACTTGACTTTATAGTTGGCCGTTTGGGGTGGTGAAAATGATTGGAGGTTGACCCTACGACACATCATCCGAGGAGCTAAAGGGTCTTAGCTGGTCTCCCGCTGGTCTTCCCTGGGCCTTGCGGTTCTGATACGGGGAAACCGCACTCGCTGGAAAATCGTTAAGTGTTCGGTACTGATGGGAAACGCGCTGGGAGGTGGTGGCCATGCTCTGAAGGCGTCTGGCCATCTGCCGGGAGGATTGTCAGTGGGTAAGTTATAAACATTATACACACAAAGTGGTTCTATTCCAACTGGTCAAACATCTAATATTAATCCAATGTTATTCCAATTTGTTATAATTTTGAAAAGACATATTGTAGAATGGAAGCAAAGAATTTTAAAGGTTTCAATGTAGTTTTTTTTTGGGTTAAATTTGTAATTAATTTAATTTGTTTTCTTAAAACTAGAAGGTATTTCTTTTGATTTATAAACTCACTTCATTGCCCGTCTCGGCATCCAATCGTCCGCCACCTGGAGACACAGGATAACCCATCGAGGGACTTGGCGCATAGTTGACCGCTTGCTTAAGCCTCTTCATTTCCTGCTCCAAAAGCTGATAGTCTCTGTAGACACAGCTGTAGTCTTCGGCCAGCGAATGATTCTCATCCACCAGTAAATTAATTCTTTCATCGTTCTCCTTGATGTGTCGCCGCATCGCCTCATCGGACCTAACCTGGGCATCCTTCCACGTGCGAAAGGAATTCAAAATCTGCTCTTGCTGTTGGTTGACCTCAACCTGTTTCCTATAGAGATGGAAGAAGATGGCATCTGCTCTTAGATGGATGCACTCCATCCCGCCCGGACTACCTACTTCAGTTGTGACTGCATACGCTGGCAGTCGGCGGCAAGGTTGTGCATCTGTTCCCGTAGAGAAACTTTGGTCAGCTCCAGTTGCTTAATGTTGTCCCGATGCTGGGACTCTTCCTGCTGCAGCTGACCCTGCATATCCCGGATGATATATCGCAACTTTTCTAGCTCCTTATGACCCAGTCGCTGTTGGTCCAAGAGAGCTCGCTCTCGACCCGCTGACACGGCCTCCTTTTCCTTGAGGGCGACCACCTCATCTCGCAGCATGCTGCGCTGTAATTAAAAGAAGGAAGAACAATTAATAACAAAGATTTTAAGGCAGTAGAAACAGGATATTCACCTCCATTTTAAGATCTTCCTGCAGCTGTTCCAACTGACTCAAACGCGTCTGGAGACTCTCCACCTGTCGCTCGGCTCCCTTGAGTCCCTGGCACTTTTCCTCAAGACTACCCATTAGGTTTTCGTGCTTGGTGGCTAGCTCCGTTCTCTCCTGCTCGTTGCTCTTAATTGCAGCGGCAAGCTCACGAATCTGGCGACTCTGATCACCTGGAAAAGGATATATAAGTAATTATATAATGAGTATACTTGAAATCTAACTTACTGTTCTTCAGCTTGAGCTCATGTATCTGCTCTTTGAGTCGATTATTCTCGCTGACATCGGAGTAGCTCTGGATCATGGTCTGCAGATCAGCAATCTGGCTATCGCGATCCTTTAGCGTATCCTGTAGTCCTTCGATTTGGCAGGCAAGGCGTTCATTCTAAGGAGGAAACACAGAAGAGAAATCAGAGAAAAAGAAAGATTTTAGTGAATTTGAAAGGGATAGAGTGAGGTGAAATGTGTCGAACTTGTATCTCCAGTTCACAGTTTATTCGCGGTGGTTCCTCCAAGTGGAGCTCTGGTTCTGGGCAGGATTGGTTGGTCTGCTGCAGCTGCTGCTGCTGTTGCTGCTGCTTCTGTTGCTGTTCAACCTGCTCGGTCAGCTCCTCGAGATCCCGCTTGAACTCATCGATTATGCTGAGATAATTATCCCTGGTGGCCTGCAGGATCTCCGTCTGGGTCTGGCAGTGGAGTAGCGTATGCTCCAATTGCTGCCGATGGGGACAGTCACGGCAGTCTTTTCGTTCTGCGAATGCGAAATGGAAAAGAGACAGCTCCTGAATCCTGAACAATTTCCGAGTTGCGAAGCTTACCATGGCGGAACGGAATATTTTGCAACTAATTGCCGTAAAACCGGGGAATCACTAAATCGCGAAATAATGGTATCAACTGTCAGTCAACCTGTCAATTTGTCCATTGAGTGCATATATCTTTGCAGTTTTAGTTTAAATCGCTTTCGATGTCGTGCTCAGATTGCAAATATAGGTATATCTCTCACAGAGCAAACGAATTTTGACTTCATTACCGTTTCATTTCATTTCAATAATATTGCTATTAAAAGTTTGTCACGAAAATAAAACCAAATCGAACTCTACGAAGACGTACGTAGGTGGCAAGACTTTGGGTTTCGGGTTTCAAAGTTCCATTTCTTTGGCACTTTGGCAACACAAGGAAAAACAACTATGTATATATGAGGAAGGGGTGCCCCCGGGGTTTTATAGATATTATATTATTCTACTATGCACCCAACCCCTCTACTCTCTCTCTCTCTAGGCGAGGCCCAACTGTTTGACACGATTTGAAAATAAGTTGCCGCGCGGGTGGCAGCCTACAATATCGTCTGTCTGTGCCTCCAATTGCCAATAGTATTTCCTTTGAGGGGCTGGGGAGAGCGTGGCTTCGCGCACTTAAAACACTTTTAAAGGCATATTATTATACTCTGGAGGAGTACGAATTTGATAGCCTCCTTGGAGCGGGAAGGTGGGAATTGTGAAAATCGATTAAGACTAACATACTATACCCGGGGCAATGAATTGTTATGATTTCCAGGTATCAAAAGGATTGTGTCGTCTGGCTGTCATTAAACCCATTAAGAGTGCCCACTTTTCGCTCCTGTTTTCCACACCTTTTCACCTGACTCAATTTGCACATTTACAGTTTGCTTTCCCCCGCTCGAAACACTCGAAAACAATTTGCACTTTTTGGGAAACTTTTCCACACCGCGTCCACCTGCTCCTAGGACTGAACGGAAAAGTTTCGAACTAATGGCATGCCTTTTCCTTTTGCCGAGCACCTTTGGTTGTGTTGGGGAAAATTTCCAAATTTCGGGGCGGCTAATTAGGGCTCGTAAATTCACGTCTACGCTTTATGTGCGGGTTCAGAAAGGACATTTAGCAAACGCGCGCGCTTTATTCCCGGTGCCGAATCCTGGCGCTTCCTTGATTTGTTTCACGCGACTAAACAGCAACCGACGACGGATGACAGGATTCTGAAGCGAACTACTTCCGGTTCCCAGCGCCGACGACCCCGGCATGGGTGCAGCAAACGGCTTCCAGCCGAGCTGTGTTTGATTTTCCACCCAGCAGTTGGTCGCTGAGGTGATCGCGTGAGGTGGTTAGGGGAATTATATATTAATAAAAATTATTCTATTAATATTATGACTTTAGGGTTTCGTTTTAAAGAGTTTTAAGGAGTGAAAGTATTTCAAAAGGGTAAATAAAATAATATATATATTAGACTTGGACAGAATTATATTTTTTTAGTGGTCAATAAAAGGACTGTTTTTTGGATAAAGTTATCGGAGATTCCCTGCATCAACTTTATAATTTTGTAATAAACATATTAATATAATTTTAGAAATAAATATAACATTTATATTCAATGTCTATTATAATAATTTTATCAGGTTTAACCCAAATACTTTTTTAAAACCTAATTTTTTAATGCTCCTAACTCAATGTAACTCAAAAAGAATAGAACCTCTTTAAATGAATTTTTATTAAAGGAAATATAATATAATAATAGTTGATATATTATTTATATTACTTAGTTCCTATATTATTGAATATATATTTTACAACCTACATACTTAAGAACAAATAATTATTTTTGATTACCTTTGTCAGCAACTGTACATCTGAACATGGCATATCAAAATAAATATTATATGTACAAAATTTGCCTCTTTTGTATTTACAAATTTAATTCCTTATTAATAACTTAAGTAATAGACTAAATTACTCTATCCAGATTCGATTAAGGGGAATTCCCGGCTCACGAGGATCACGAGCCAGCTCTCGACACTCAAATCCCCGTCCCATGTCCCGTGGGCTCTCATCGATATGCATATCACTCGCTCGCCTGCCTCGCGTGTCGATTGTGGGTAAATAAATAACACGAAACCTATTTCCGATTCGCCAGCTCCTGGAGGGCAGGTGAGCCTGTCGGGAGGAGGTACTCCAACTCCATCCCCAATTCCCCATCCTGCTTCAATTGCAGTTGAACTTTCCTCCACAATAAACACATTCGCGACCGATTTGTATTTGTCGAAGGTAGACAGGAGATTCGCAGGGAACTTACTTTCGGGACCATACGAAATATATGGGTAAATAAATCAGTCGACTCGAATGGCAACAATATTTGTTGTTTGTCCAGGATATATATAAATTTATATATATGGAAAGCTATATATGGGGCTTCTTGCCCGAAGGCGAATGTCATTTACCACATAAGAGACTATTCGGTGGCAAAAGGAAAATGTATTTGTATAGTTAGGTCAGAGGCATAGCTTTTTAATATATATACAAATTCAATTTAAAAATAATTCTAATTTTAAAATCCAACTCTTGCTGAGTCTTAGTAATATATATTGACAAACTCAAAAAATGTTTAAAACTATACTTTTTAAACCCCATCTGACTGAGCTCCTGGCTTCACTTCATTGTGAATATATAGATATCAGTTGATTTTTGTATATAAACAAGACATATATATATTCGCAAGATACCCGTTTCTTCCGCCATCATTTTGGGTTTTTGGCGGGAACTATTTCGATGATAAATAACTTTACAACTTAGGCAACGAGGGCAAAACTTTAAGCTATAGTACTTAAGTAGAGTTAACTTGGCTTAGCTTAGGCTAAATGTGGGGAGGGTCAACAACAAGTGACATAGTTACTACTTGCTGCTCCT